GAGGGTGTTAGCTGTTGCCAGGCACGGCCCTGCATGTCAGGGGCCAGCGGCCAAGTGAGTGATCCAGGAAGTCATCCAATTACAAACCAGAAATTGTTCTTTAACCCCTCACTCACTGTCCGGGGTGCACAGCAAACTCGCCCAACTGCCCAAATGGGGTCAGAGTGAACGCTGGCTGCTCAGAACCCTAGCAACTCTCCCCAGTTCCTGGCTGGCTTTGGGCCCATGTGGGAGCCAGTCCTCCTCCCAGGGCTCAGGCCTGCCTCTTGGTCCAAGAGTGAATGTCCCGACGGTGCGGGAGCCAGTTCTTTTTGGTGAAAGGTGCCTCTTTGGTCCCTCCTTGGTGCCTCTTTGGTCCCTCCTCTTTGGTCCCTCTTTGGGCCTCCGTGTCTGCAGAGCCGTTTCTCTCTGAAGTGGCATGTGTCTCCCAGGCAGGACCTGCCGGGGCACCGGCCACCACGCCCACCTGGTCTGTCCTGCCAGGCCAGGTGGGACTGCCCTGGACAGTCTGCAGGCTGCTCCCTGATGACAGCTGCTGGGGGGGCTCTGTCAGGAGGGTTAACAGACAATTTGTTTATTGAATCACGAAATAGCTGTCACATGATTTTAATCAAAACACCATTTCCCTGGCAACAGTGATGTCAGTCTTGTTATTGCAGGAAGGAGCAGCTGTGAGGGACATTCAGTCTCCAGGCCGAGCCCAGGTTTGGAGATGGAACTCAAGTGACGCGCCCATAAGTAATGGGCACAGGTCCACGTCCGAGTCCGCCTCCTCCTCTTCTCTGTCGGACAGCGTCCTGCACAGACACTGGCCGGCCCGGCCCTGCATCCGACTCCACGGAGCTCTCACCTTCTGCACACCTTGCCGTTTCTACCCTTGTTTCTACTTCTGATTTTTCCAGTTTTCCTCATTTCCCCCAAACTCAGAAAATCTCTGGGGCCCATGGAACCTCTGGCCTCTGCCTCCCGGCATCTGTCTGCCCTCCGTGCTCTAGGCTAGCGCTTGCAGAGCCAGGCGGCTCCAGCAGCCTTGGGGGGCGGGAGGGGCCATTTTGCTGGAACCAGCTTTGTGGGCGAGGAGCAACGGCTGGTCCTTTCCTTGTCTCTTGAGCGCAGATGGGGGGCCAGGTGCTGCCCGAGGGTCTCCAGGGCAATTCTAAGGAGCTTGGCCGTGGCAGGGCCAGAGGATCAGCTCTCTGAACCCACAAGGACTAACGAGGCTTGAGTCCAAGCGAATGGAGGCCTGACAACGGATCAGAGCCCAGGGAGGTCAGGGTGAGCGTCATGGCAGCTGGAGCAGTGCCCTCAGGCTCCAGCCTCCACTCCCAGGGCAGAGAAACCCCCCAGGCCCTCTCACCCCTCACCCAGGAGCTTGACCTAAAAGTTGGGGACTCGTGAAAAAGGCCTCTTTCTAGGTGCCCATAGCTATTGCTGCCCAGAACGCATCACCAAAAATGAAGAAATCTCAGGCACAGTTCTTGGTTCTTAATCTGGAGCTGGGCTCAGGATAGGACAGCCATTCTTCACGAGGGAGGAGATCCCAGGCGCCAAGCAGCATCTCTCTGTCCGGGGTTGGAGCAGTTACGGTTACATGACAGCAGGGCAGGCAGGAGTGATGATGCTGTGAGCATCAAGGTGCTCTCAGAGGCGTGTTATGCCAGCTGCATTGAACCTTAGAGTAAACCGGGGATGAAGTCAGCCAGGCTGTTTCCAAGTTACTGGGGGGATAGCGAGCCTTTGCAGTGATGTTCCCAGATCAGGGGCAGGGCTGGGAGAGGTGCCAGAGGCTGAGGACTCAGAGGTTCTTCCCTGCCTAGGCCTGTCCCTGGAAGAGAAGGGGTAGGCACCACCTTGCCTGGAGGGCCTTTCTGGCCAGGTGGCTGCTCCAGGGGCTGCACTGGGGAAGCGGGGCCCAGTTCTCAGCCTCGTTCCTGCACAGGCCCTCCTGGCCCTGCCCTTTCCTTCCTGTGGGGCCCCTCCACCTGCCCTCACTTCGCTGGCACAGGGACCAGAGGGCAGGTCTCGCGGTCCCAGACTGGAGTGGGCCAAGGCTGTGAACCCAGGGTCCTCGCACGCTGCGCTGCCAGGGGAGGCCTGGGCCCTTCCTCAGCTCAGCTGCATCCAACTCCCCAGCTGCTGGTGGCCCTGACGTGGTCAAGGACTTACTCCTGAGTTCTCAGGCCTCCTCTGGGCATCCCTGGCCCATCATTCCCTCCTTTTCTCTGGGGAATTAGGGAGATCGAGTCAGAAACTGTCAAAGCCTGCCTGGTCGTTGAGCAGCTCACTCCTCCCTCTGAGAGGCTGGTCCCCCAGTGCCTCCCTTCTGGGCCTGCGTTTTCTGAGGTTCTGCCAGGCCAGCTCTTGGGGGACAGCCGCAGGGGAGCTGCTTCCCGTGGTGCCGTGTCCTCCTCCCTTCCCCTGTCCTGGCGCCCTGCTTGGTGGCTCAGCCCTGCACCCACTCTGCCCAGGCTTTGGACTGCTGATTCAGACCCGCTCTGGGTCAGGCGTGCCTAGGAAAGGCCCCTGGAAACATGGACAAAGGAGGTGTTAACACTCCCAAGGAGGATCTGCAGCTACAGGTCCAGGAGTTCAGTTGCATGGTGGGCTGGGACATAGTGGCAGGAGGAGCTGGAGCTGAATGGCTGGGGGCACGTAGCAAGCTCCCCACTGCCTGGCCTGGCTTTCGGGGTTGGCCTCAGTGATTTGTGGTTGTAGCTTCCCATCTGGGTGTGGGCAGATGTGCTGGGATGGCTATGTCTGAGATGAGGGGCCAGTGCCTTCACTTCAGTTATGACCCACATCGGTCTCCCAAGGGTCATGGCAAAGTATGAGCCTACACAGTATTCCCCCCCGGCCCCCCACCTGCCCCGTCCTTCAGAGCTGCTCAGCCTGGTCACTGCTGTAAAGTGCTCATTGGCTGGGGCTGCAACAGGAAGGGCAGAGCAGCTCATCCTGTGCAGGTGACTGATTTGGTAGCCGCGTGGCACCTAGGATTCTGTGCACAAAGCTCAGGACTTCCTCCACGGTGTCCTGGGGCTGCAGGCAGAGCAGGCGGCTCCCTCCCTCACCTGGGTCCCTGGAGAGGCTTGGCATACTCAGCAGGGAGGGCCCGTCAAGAACCTCGTAACTGAAAAGGGTTCGGGGCTGCAGGCGGAGACACTGATGTTCTTCTAAGTCAGGGGTTGAAAACACCATAACTTGGGGTCCATGAATGGGCCTGGTGGGTGCAGGAATCAACTCCTCCCCTGAAAATACCTGTTCAAAGATGTGTCTATATGCCTGTTACTTGGGAAGAGGGGCCAAAGCTTCCACCAGCGTATCAAGGGGATCTGTGAAACCTCAGTTTAAGAACTCATGGTGTGTCCTGGCCAGGTAGGTCAGTTGGTTAGAGCGTTATCCCAATACTCCAAGGTTGTGGGTTCAATCCCTGGTCAGGCACATACAAGGAATAGCCAATGAGTGCAGAAATAAGTAGAACAACAAAGCGATGTTTCTTTCCTGTCCTCTCTCTCTCTCTCACTAAATCAATAAAAACAAACAAACAAAAAAAACCATGTGCCCTAGCTCGTTTTGCTCAGTGGATAGTGTTGGCCTGTGGACTGAAGGGTCCTGGGTTCAATTCTGGTCAAGGGCACATGCCCGGGTTGTGGGCTCGATCCCCAGTAGGGGGCGTGCAGGAGGCAGCCGATCAATGATTCTCTCTCATCACTGATGTTTCTATCTCTCTCTCCCTCTCCCTTCCTCTCTGAAACCAATAAAACATATTAGAAAACAAAACAAAACAATAAAACACACATGTGAAAACCCTAATGAGGTAGAGAAGAGCAGATGGCCAACAGAAGCTGGGGCCCTGCTGCTACCTGCCTGCCTCAGAGGGGCACTGGTACTGCCTCCCTTCGGAAGTGTGGGCGCTGTCAGCTCGGGGCCTCCAGCCCAGCCCCTCCCGCCTCTGGGCAGAGCCTCCGGCTCTTGGAGGCCATGGAACTGCAGTATGGTTCTGGGGCAGGGCGGGCCGGGGGCCTGATGGCTGCTGAAGTTCTGGCCGCTCTCTGCTGGCAGGCCTGTTGTTTTTGCCTGTACCCTGCGCACTGGGGTTGTTTTTGGCAACACAGAAATGATGGAGAAATTTGGTGGGAAAGGGGAAAGTTTGCAAAACACCATTGCTGAAATCGAGTGCTTTCCTTAAAAAGAAGTGCACTTGAAATTCACAGAATTCTTGGGTAACAGCCGTGGGGGGGCAGTGCTGAACGCCTGTGAGCGGCGCTGGGCCAGCAGAATACGTCCATGGAGACGGCTTGGCTCTCCTCCTGCCTTAGCTGCCCCGCCCGCAGCCGGCAGATGCCCTGGTTCGGGAACTGTCTCAGTTCTACAGCATGGGTTCAACTGGAATGGTTTGAGTGAAACCAAATCTCAATTGAATTTGCTGTCAGAAAGTAAGACTTTTCCTCAGGGTCTGGCACTAAACCAAGTCCCGAGCAAGCCTATGAGTGGCCTCGAGTGCTTCGGCAGATGGATTCTTCCAGCACCTGAGGGCACCGAGCAGGCCCGTCCCCGGGTGACGTCCACAGCGTGTGAGCCGAGGCCGTTGGCAGGCCCACACAGAGACCTGCCATCGTGCGTTAGCAGCGGTCTTGCTGGCCCTTTGTCCCCAGCCCTTGCCCTGCAGCTGGCTTGTCCTGCCGCACGGCCCTCGCCAGGCCACCTCTGAGTCAGTGCGGAGCACCAGGCCCCAGCGCGCCCGCCCGCCCGGCCGGCCGTGTGCAGGCTGCGGTCAGCTCGCCGCCAGCCTTCTGCCGCGGCAGCCGTGTGCTCGGGCCATGTCAGAGCCGGTATTACTTACCCTGCTGACGTCAATGGAAACATACTACCCATGCCCTTCGCTGCAGCCTGAAACGAGCCAGGGTTCAGGGCACGTGGCCACGTCCGTACTTTCAGAAAACCCACCCAGGCTGACGGGGTAAAGTCCCCTGTCATTCGCCTGACACTCAGCGTCCAGGCTCTTAGAAAACACGTTTTTATTTTAATTCAAGAGTGTTGGAAATGTAAAAACAGTATTTTTTCCTTGCAGAAAACTACCCGATTTAAATTAATGTTTGATACAAAGATCATTTATTAAACTGCATTTTAGGCTATTTTCTAACATTGAGTGACAGTTACATTGTTTGTTTTTACTTTTTCACATTGAAGCTATTATGATTTGCACTCAAAATACCAAAGCTGTTAAACTCACCATTTATTCCTTAGTCATTAAAAAAAAGCACACGTTAAAAATAACTACAATTAGATTTAACTTTATCAAAAGTAACTCACAGACCAAACCTCCCTCAGAAATAAGTGAATCGTCCTGCCCTTCCTACAAAGTGCCATTATCTCTGTATGACTTTTATTTCTGAAATTGCAGCCCCCAAAGGAAGCCACCTCCTTTTCTGTCTGTTCATTTTCCCTTCAGAGATGTTGGTGGAGGCGATTTCTCTTACATCAGTGTGGGGAGGTGTCACCACACCAATTTCTTTGAATGAGAGTTTGGCCAGACAGGCATCACAGCCCATGGCAGGTCCCAGTTATCTGTATTTGCAAATGTGAACGTCATTCCAATCTGTGGTCATATTTCCTGGGATGCTATTATTCTATTTTTATTTTTTTTGAATTGATCTCAGAGAAGAAGGGAGAGCTAGAGAAACATCAATGATGAGAGAGAACCATTGATTGTCTGCCTCCTGCACCCACCACACTGGGGATCGAGCCTGCAACCCGGGCATGTGCTCTGACCGGGAATTGAACCATGACCTCCTGGTATACACTCAACCACTGAGCCACACTGGCCAGGCTATTTTTATTTTATTTTTAAAGCTCCTCTCTACCTACCCATTTTGCTTCTGAAAAGACAAAGTATCAAAGTATGTTATTTTCTTTAATCATAAGTGTCTAAGCAGCACTTTTACTTGATGTACCTTAAGTGGAAAGCAGTACAGCCCTCCTGGGGCCCAGGTGAGGTCAGGTTCCTGGGGCGAGTCTGCTGGCTGGCAGGGCAGGCTGCAGCTGTGCCATCTGGCCCCTTGGCAACCGAGGAAGAGGTGTCCTAGCGCCTGCTTCTGTGGGAAATGACCGTATGGTGTAGCTGGGAGAAACTAGACGTCTTCAGTGTGAACCTACACGTCTGGGGTTAGTTGGCAGGGCTGGGGGGAGGTCTGAGGGGCTGCATCTCCTAGCCTTGTTCAGAGGGCCACCTGGACAAGAGCAGTTGTCACCGGAGGGCCCTCTCCCTCCAAGCCAGGACGCTGTTGAATGGAGAACCAGGCCGAGGGGACGATGTCACTCACCCAGCGCTTAACCGACTTGGGGGCTTGGTACGTGGGGCTGTTTGCTCATGAAGCGTCAGCTGTTACTGATGATGGGAAAGGACATGGAACGAGCAGCCAGAAAGCCCAAGAGCTTGTCTTGGCTCCCCCACTGGCGAGCTCCGAGCCCTTGACAGCCACCCAGACTTCCGACAGCTTTGGTTTCCTGGCTGTAACAGTGAGGACTGTGTCTGTCCAGCTAATTTCAGAGAACTGTGAACAGAGGAGATCACTGTGGAAGTGCTTGGTTAACGTGCAAACCTCAGCAATGCTCCTCTGGACAGGCAAGCTGCGGACTGGGCAGGAGCGTCAGCCCCAGCATGGCGAGCTGTGCGGGTGGCGAGGTCTACGGGCAGCACGGCCGCCAGTTTCTCAATCCCTGAGATCACAGGCCCCAGTTCTGCCCACGTGGGATATGGACACAAGGTGGTGCTGCAACTAGCTAGGGCAGCGGTCGGCAAACTGGCCCCGTGAGTGTGGCTCTTCCACAAAATATGTGTGGGCGCACGTACAGTGCGATTGAAACTTCGTGGCCCATGCCACGGGGCCAAAGAGCCGCATGTGGCTCACGAGCCGCGGTTTGCCGACCACTGAGCTAGGGTGGCTGTCAATCTGGAATCAGCAAGGCGACCCTTGTGGGGAACAAGCCTGTGAAGGGCCCTGGGGACCGGGCTCCGGGCCAAGGCGCCATGGAGGGCCGGCCCTCATGCACCTTGCTGCTCCCGGGGCCGCAGCTGACACAGAAAGAACTGGAAACGCGTGGCTTCCTGGGATTCAGGCCAGGGACCCACACTGCTGGCCCCGCCAGAGGGAGGCATACGCTCAGGAGGGCAGAGGATACTGCTCTTGTCCACACGTCACTCTGGAGATAAGCTCTGAAAAGATTTCCAGAAGCAACAAAATGACCCAATACGCCTGCCGATACAGTGACTTCAGCCAGCGAGCTGCTCCCGCTTGTACCTCTGATGTCCAGGCACAAAGTGACGGAGCAGCTGGGCTTCCCAGGAGGCAGGAGGGGCGGCCCAGGTGAGGCCCCACGGTCGGCCCTGCACAGGGATGACCCAACCGTCCCGGGACCAACGCTGCCCAGGGCGCCGCGTGCTGTCGCCAGAGGACTGTGAGGTCACCTGGAGGACGCGTTTCCTCACCGACAGGACTTACGCAGGACTGCGCCCGGTTCGCAAATGTAACCCGGAGCTGAGAATCCTGACCCCACACAGACCCGTGTGTAAGGACCTGGGCGGGACTAGGGGTCGGAGGGCCCCAAAGGACCCTCTCGCCTCACCACGTCCGCGTGTCTGAAGGGCCTGCCCTAACCAGAGGCGGCTCTGGCTACCGCACACCCGGACCCCTGACCACCCAGCAGGGAGGCGGCCGCTGCTCGCCTCTACCTTCCGGGCCATCCAGTCACTCTCCAGTCACACACCCTCTTGTCCACCCAACGGCAGGCTTCTCTCCAGGAGCCCGCGTTCAGGCGCTGATCAGTGTGGCCGGGGCCAGTGTGGGAGGGGCACTCGCTCAGGCTGGGCCTCCCTGCCCAGGGGCCTCTGAGGTTAGGGGCTCCCAGTCCCCGGCTCCTGCCAGTCCCACTGACCAACTCAGGACCCGGCTTGCACACTCAGCTCTTCGTTTCCGAGGAGGGCGGGGCCTCACTCTTTCCTGGGCGGCGGCTGGTTCAGAAAGAAGAGGTTTTGTTCACATAAGAGCTGACAGACCCTCCAGTCCTCCTTTCCTAGTTCCTCTCTGGGCCCCGGGCTTCCCATGAAGACACTAAGGGCAGCTGGTGAGGAGACGCTCTGGGCCCGTGCCCAGGCAGCAAGAGGGCACAGCAGGCCTGGGAGGGCGAGGTGGCGCCCGTGGGACACGCTCTACGCCCTTGCTGAGCCCGCATGTCAGTGGCGTGTACAAACTAGAGACGTTCTTGCCAACTGGAAATTGTGGAATTAGTGCATTTTTCCCGAAATAGAGACTAACCCTGGATTAAAAAAAGGACAAAAACAAAAAATAAAGTACCACACATATTGCACTGTTTGCTGAATGAAATTTTTACCTCATGTTCATCTCCCCAGGTCTCTTCAGAGGAGCCTGGTTTACACGCTAACAAAGCCAACGATGCCCACACAAGGGTGCACCCGCTGCCGACGCGGAGCCCCGGAGCCCGGTCAGTGGGCAGCAGCGAGGAGCCGTCCCAGTGCCATGTAGTGTCTGTGCGGGGAGCACGTGAGGGGGCAGGGCTGGGAAACGCCGGCTGCTGCAGACCGAAGACAGAGGGTTATGGGACTTGCTGATTTCTGCTTGAAATACACAAGAAAAGGAAAAGCGAACAGGAGCTCACACCCCTGGCCCAGCAGGCCAGCTCAGGCCCCTGCACCAGATGGGGGCCTGTCTCCGACGGGCCTGGCCACCACTGCTGGGTGCTGGCCGAGGTCTGTCTCTGGGTCCCTTGGCTTCCAACAGCCTCTCTGCTGCCCCCTCCCCCCCGCCCCGTCGGCCTGACTGCCTGGCACAGCCGGGGTGTCCTGGCTGACGGGCTCCTGGCCTGTGACTGCGCCTCCCGTGACCGCGCCCTTCCCGTGACCGAAATGAGCAGCCCCCACTGCTTGTTCCAGTTCACTATGGAAGGATTTAAGTTTCATAAATATTACAGCACTTCGATAATAATTTTGGGAAAACATCCTTCAGTCTAAACAAATTCAGCCGTTTTATAACTGGCACATTCTGCAAAGACTTAAAACAGATTAGAGGCCTTAACAGAAGGATCTCTTAAATGAAATATTTCACGAAATCATCAATCTTAAGCACGAGGGGCAAACCATCCCCGGGGAACAGAATGCGTCCTCCCGCTTTCACATGTGCTCCTCACAGACGTGCCCGCCCGCCCTCCCCGCAGCCGCCCTTGCTGACCAGGTCCTGCCTTCGCCCAGGGCCCCACGCAGTGTCCAGGCCCCAGGGGGAGCCGGGAACAAGGCTGCTCAAGTTACCAGCCCGCAAGGGGCTGGGCAGGTGGGGGCAGAACAGGACTCAGACCCTCCGGCTCCTCCTCACCCGCCCGGGACACACACTGCGAAGAGGAAAGGCGTCCTGGACGCAGCTGTGTGGTGGCTCCGCTCCGTGCCGTGAGGAAGAAGCCGTGCCTCGTGCAGTCACCTGCTGACAGGCGAGCAGGGAGCCTCTGTCACTAACACTGAGCTTGTAATGCGTGGCTGTGACCGTCCAAATGACAGGTGACTCGGTACACAGTTAACTGGCTGTAGCATCTATTTCTTACTTATTTTGATGAATGAACTGCAAGGGTTAAGTTTTGTTAGTAATACAGTGAGTTTGGCAGATGATTTGCTTCCGTGGCTGACACATCTGTGGTTTTGAATATTGCTGTAATACTCTAACATTTCATTACAAGTCAAACTTTAAGGAAATGAAGAATGCGATTCCCACACAGTGGAAAACAAACTGAAGTGACTTTGGATTTAGCATTGACATGAATGGAAACTTGGTTTCTACAGAAAAGAAATAATTAAAGCGTGATCCGGGAAAAGGCACGGCACTACCACTTCACATGGGAGAGAGAAGTTCATTCTTCTTGTTCTTAAAATGTCTAAGTCCTCTATGAAACTGTCCGGATATACAAAGCTCAGTAAACTACTAGCAACAATAATATAGTGTGAAGTCAAAGTAGTTACTACATTTGAAGAGACACCACGTCCCGTCCCCTAAAGGCCGACTGTCCGACCGGAAGTCCCCACAGATCTGTGGGAAGCCCCCGCCTTCCTGGACCGGGCTCTGCACCGATGGCTCCTCGAGGTCCTGGCCAGCCCGCTGTGGTGGGTCCTGTGGGTTCTCCAGGCGACATCTCCGGAGCCCCGGGCCCTCTGCGTCTGTGACCCACGGCGCCTTCTGAAGAGGCGCTGCTGCTCCGGGAGACGCTGCCGTAGGGCTTAGTACCAGCTGGTAGCGGCCTGATGGTCTTGGGGACAACGTGCATCAGCAGCTCAGAACTTATGCTTCGGCGACAAAGCACAGCCTTCCCTTATGTTCTGTGCATCACATTCATTATGTATCTTGCTGTGCCTTTAAGCATGTTGCTCGTGGCGTCAGTGGAAAATACTGCCTCTTCCCCCCACATCTCCCTGCGTTCACCAGTCTCCCTTGGTAATGGTGTAGTTCTGTATAAAACCGAGGTCTGGGTGTCTTATAAAACGTTTGTCGGCGTCTCCGTGAGAGCTTGCTCCACCCGGCACAGCTGTGTGCCAGCGTGGGCCACCGGGAGCCAGGAGGGACCTAGCCAGGAGGGAGCAACAGCCACCTGGCCAGGCCTCCGATTCCAGTTGGGCAAGTTGGTTCTCCCCTTTCGGGAGAGGACAGAAAATAAGCTTTAAATGTAAAAGGCTGAAATAGAAGTAAAAACACACGTGCTTCCTACGCTGGACCTGTCCCGCTTCCGGGCCGGGGCTAGTTCACCAGGACGTAACCGCTGTGCTGCGGGTCCACGGCCTCCAGCATTTCACAATCAAAGAGCCCAGGGAACTCGGGGAGGGCGAGCGGGTCGTAGCTGGAGGGGTCCTCCTGCAGCCCCGAGCTCCTGGGACAGTCTGGCGCTGCCACACCGCCCTGCTGGGCTCCGTCCAGGGGGTACTGATGGGGAGTGGGGTATTCTGGCTCAGGGGAGACGGTGCCTGGCAGCTCGCAAGTCTGATAGGAGAACTGTAAGGACGCTGGGGCAGCTCCCGACTGTTGTGGTGGTGGTGGCGGCGGTGGCGGGGGCGGCGGTGGCGGCTGCTGCAGGTGCGCCTGAGGGCTGGGTGAGGAGGGCAGGGGCCGCAGCGGCATCTCGGGGTACTGGCCGAGGAAGGGGCTGTACTGCATTTGCTCAGAGGCCGCCAGGACCGGGCTCAGGGGCTGCGTCAGGCTGAAGGGCGGAGGCTGTTGTGGTGGTGATGGTGCCTCCTGGTGGGGCTGTGGGTATGAGCTCTCCGCTATCTGCATCTGGTTAAAGTATGCCTGCAGCTGAGACTGCTTCTGGAGGAAGAGTCGCTTCTGCTGGAGTCTACATTGGCAAAACCAAAAGAAAGCATGTTAAATCTCCCTCAGTGATAGCAACTTTAATGTAAAGCAGTGTCCGTCACCAGCCTCAGCCACTCACTTCTCTTTCTGTGGCAGAAAAGAAAGTGGGGGGTAGGAGCAAATAGTGTCGCTTTTCTTCAACCTAATCTCACTTTTTGTCCCCCAATTCCGACTGGCCTCAGTGTGGCAGTAAACGCGAACTCATTTTCTCTGAGGCGCTCAAGTATTTCTCCCTATGAAGCCAGAGGCTGATTTCCCAGCTGAGTGTCCAAGGGGCGGGGGTGACCCCTGGCCTCCCTGGGGGCCTTTGGTTGATGGGGCAGGGCCATGCTGCCGTGGCCACGCTGCTCCTGCTTGTGAGGCCAGGGGGCAGGAATTACCGCAAGGGAGGATGTGAGATGAAAAGGAAAACAGCACATCTAGGGCTGCTATTCCCCGGCAGGCGCACAGCCGCGTTAGCCGTCATGTCTTGGACACTGGCTCATGCATCAAAACCTATTTTCCACCCTGGCCAGGTGGCTCGGTTGGCGCATCACCAAAAGGTGGCGGGTTTGATTCCCAGTCAGGGCACTTCCAGGAGGCAACTGATTGATGTTTCTCTCTCTCTCTCCATCTCCCTCTCTAAAAACATATCCTTGAGGATTAAAAAATAATTTAAAAACCTATTTTCCTAGTAGAGGCAACACCAGGGTGAATGGATACACCCAGCAATCTTTTTTTTTTAACTGATTTCAGTGAGGAAGGGAGAGGGAGAGGGAGAGAGAGAAACATCAATGATGGGAGAGAATCACTGATCAGCTGCTTTCTGCAAGCCCCCACTGGGGATTGAGCTTGCAACCCAGGCATGTGCCCTGACCAGGAATCGAACCATGACCTCCTGGTTCATAGGTTGACGCTCAACCACTGAGCCACACCAGCCAGGGCCCAGCATTCTTAAGTCTTCCACAAAACAAAGTGACTTCTTTGGCCAAAGGAGCTCTCTCACCTGTGTTCCTGCAGCTGCTGTTCAAGGCTCCGTGGTGGCTCCTTACAATACAGCTGACAGGTGTTCTGGGCTTTTGACAGAAGGCTGGGCTTCTGGAAGAGCAGAAAACAACCCAAGCATGACAATGTGTTGCCATCTAGGGCACGGTCATCAGACTGGGCCGCTGCCTGGAGGAGGAGGCCAAGTATGTCCTCCACAATCCACGCAGAGTGAAGGGACTGATGACACTTGCTCACTGGGGCCCTGGGAGAGCTTTGGGGCCCACAGCTTTGGGTCAGCAGGCCTGGGCTGTCTCAGCTCTAACCTACTTCAGTTTCCATTTCTGAAAGTCCCCTGGGACTTCGAGGTTCGTGGAGAGTATAAACAATGGGAAAAATGGGGCTAAATCTCGATAACAAAGGCAGCAGCACCAGCTGAATGAACAAATGATTCATCTTTTGAGGTTTTCAGGCACCAGTGTAGACGCTGACGTTTGAAACCTGCGAACGTGAGATTTCCATTTTATCTGTTCCTCGTGATGAGGCCTAACGTTAGAAGCAGAGGCCGTGCTTCCCCTTCCTGCCACTGTGGTGGTCTCCCTGCCTGGGGCTGAGGACAAGCCCGCTGCCGGCACAGAGCATAACCTGAGTCTGAATGTGTTTCCAGAAACCAGAAGTGCGCTGTCAGGCCCCCTGCCTGTGAGGGATCAAGCCGCCACCCTAACCTAGTCCTGAACAAGACAACAGGCGTCTGCTGTGCAGAGGCCGGTCCTAGCCCAGCACAGCGGGAGCAGCAGGGGAAGGCCCACCTGGAGTCTGTGCTGCAGGTACTGGGCCTCCAGGCTCTGCTGCGGGGACAGCGGTGGGTGCACGCTGGAGGCGAGCGCAGGAACGCCTTCCGGCTGCTGAACAGCTTCCTCCTGAGGAGCAAGGGCGACACGTTTTCAATTCTCCAGGAGAAAGTTTCAGCTTTTAGTTGAAGCACCTGGGCAAATGCCCAAGAGGAACTCCAGCCCGTACACACGACCCTCCCAGCTTTGGCACAGCCAGCAGGTGGAGGGCTCATCATTTACAGAAAATCTATCCGTGGACCTGCAGTGACGGTCACCTCGTCAGTGCTGGGCAGCAGGCGCCAGCACCTCCCCGGGGCCTCAAAGCTCGAACAGCCTGAATGCACTAACAATAGTCTCAAAATAAACTTACTGGATAAATAGCAATTTCTTTTGTATCTTTAGCACAAAGAATCCATTTATAATATTTAATGAAGTGATAGCACATTAAAAGTAGTGGTAGTAAGCTTCTCATTTGGGTAAAGTTTATTATTCTAAATTTGTGTGTGTGCGCCCGGGGGGAGAGGATCAGAGGTAATTCACATACAGTCTGCCCCGTGAAGCAGACTGAGGTGCCAAGGCCTCCATGGGGCCCTCCCTGATCACCTGGCCAACGTGGACAGGCATCACCTGTCAGCAGCAGGTGGCAGCAGCAGGAAAAGTTTTGCAAAAGAGCCTGTTTGCTCCAGGACTGGAGTGAGTCCTCCCAATGAAGCAACACATCTTCAGGACACACTCACTCCTCGCACTCGCCAAGCCACTGTGGAAAGGGCCGGAGCACTCACCTGAGGGCGGCTGCCAGCCAGGTCCTGGAGCTGAGGAGCAGCTGATGCCAGGCTGGGGTCGGCCTCTGGCCCCAATTGTTCATACAGCAGCTGCACTTTGTTCAGCTCTAGAATTCCTTTGGTTCTAGCCAGATTCTGAAGATGTTGTCTAAATGCTACAATGCCTGGAAGAAAGGGCAAGACCAAACAGTTTAAATAAAACACAGGCCTCTCAGTTACTACAGGTATGATACCAATATGGCCACAACCCCCTTCAAATCCTACCAGCTGAGAACTTGAGAAGGCAGGAGGGGAGCGGCAGTTACCTTGGGTGAGGGAGGTGTCTGAGGCCCTGCGGCCCTCCCTGAAGCTCACGGGCGACCTGTTGTGGGCCTCTCTTCTCTGGGAGGTCAGGGCCTGCATGGCTGGGTTGGCAGGTCTCAGGCTTATGAAGGGAGATGCCATGCGAGGTGAGGGCTGGTTGGCTAACATGATGTCTTTAAGGGAAGGGTTGTCCTCCAGAAAGTTCAGGTCCCTCTGAACAGACCCCATGTCATACTCAGAGTCCACACTGTCCAGGGAAGGGTTGTCACTCATGGAGAAAACTTTCCCTTTAAGAGAAAACAGAGCAGATATGAGGAATAGCAAACAGTGTCTTCTTTGAACAAAAGACACAAAGTGCAGCCAGCTTGAGTTCTCCCAGTGACAATGTCCTTAATCTCCAACCAGCACATTTTTTTCAGCACCATTTTTCACGTCAATTTAATAAGCTTTGAGTTTTGTGGGGAGAACACACCAGAATCCGTGCCCAGCAGATCTCTGCCACCCCAAAGTGCCAGGGTCCTGGGTAAGCCCCCGGCACTCGGTGAATTCTGGGAGTAAGGAGACAGCTCAGAGGCGACTGCCCTCAACTGCTGAATGTTGTCCACAAAGGAAAAAGCAGACTGGTTTCCACAGGGGAAATGCTCATCACAGGCTGCGTCCTAGGAGCTGACTGGAGACTGGACTGTGACTGATAGCGTGCAGACTTCACCTGCAGCTCAGTGGATGGCATACCTGAACCCGGCACCACGACCAGCTGATTGGTCACTTCGGACAGAGTGTGCCGTCTCTGCCCACCACGCGTGGACTGGAACGCGTCAAAGGCCTGGCTGGGGTCTTCCTCGGCCTCTCCCTCTGTCTCCAGCCCTTCGTCAATGGAGGTCTCCATCATGCTGCTGGGCAGGGACTGGCACCCCTTCCTCACCAGGACAGGCGGCACAGGGTCCAGCAGGCAGCCATTGACCTAAACGTCAGTGCGAGAGGAAACTGTCAGTTGCTGCTCTGCTGAGACATTTGAAAAATCCACGAGGATCCAAACATGTTAGCACTGTGGCAAATCAGTAATTCAGGATGAAACTGAGTTCAGCAAACATTTTCTTTTTTTTTAGTATTTTATGACCTTGTAGGACAACCTTCCTGAATCCTTGAAATAAAGTGATGGCCTGGGTAAGTATTGTGATCCCTCATAGCTCTAACATTTGACTCAAAGTAATAGTCCAGCCTGTTATTTTCAAGAAACTATTTCAAATGGGATAGTTTATTTATTTATTTATTTTACAATATATAAATACTAAAAATGTACAGATGTGTTATTAATGACAACATGGAGGGCAAGCCAACTGCAGCACCGAGACCGGCGCCCAGTATGGCCACACCAGCATTGCCTCCCAGGTTTCTCTGAGTCAGCATTACAATAAACAATTTCTTTAGCAGTTTCCAGGTGAATAGGGGTACAGTAAGTTGATGCCTATTAGTTATTTCTTTAAGATCAGGGGAATGAAGAGGGGGAAGATGAGATTTTTAAGAAATGCATGGCTCAGAGCTAACCGAAAAGAGTAGTCACCACCATTCTTCTAATTTTCAACCACAAAACATACTGCAAGGTTCCAGACATACTTTTATGTTTATAATTTAAGTACCTAACTATCTGGTTAGGTCTTTAACTGGTTCTATGTGTTTGAGGAATGGAAAAAAGAATTCTTTAAAGATGGACTGATACCACAAAGAGGACTGAAAAAGATTCACTGGCAAACAGCCCGAGCCTTATGTTACAGAATAACAAGCGACTCGCAGGCCCCGGATTCCTGCAGAGGCACGGAGCGCTGTCCTCCAGCCGCACACACAGCATCCCCAGGGCCCATCCCCCAGGGGGAGCACAGCACAGCTCCCAGGCAGCTGACACGCACACCAGCTAATGGCAGCAGAAACAGCAGACAAAGGGGAGTTGTGGTTGCCTGCTCTTCTGGCTGGTAAAAGCCCCACCGAGGAGGCAATTATTTAGCTCATTACCTTAACTATCCCCCCGTGGAAATCAATCTGTTTTCTCCTATGAATAGCTGCTCAGGAACAGCCAGTCACAGATGCTGAGTTGTAAGCAGCACTTTCACCTGAAATACACTGGGTAGAGCTTTTGTTTCCTTTGGAAGCAGGCGAGGCGCATGTGTGAGAGGTGACGTGGGACAGGCCTGTGCCAGACACAGGAAACTTTCCTCTTATGGCAACCCGTCTGAAGGCGCTGCAAGGCCCTTTATTTGGAGCGGGAGCCTTGGGTGACTCAGATCTTTGTTTGCCTGGGGGAGGGGACAGTAATTCCATAAAAACTGCTCTGGGTCTGCGGCCATTACTTGGATAAGGTGGCCAGTGCGTTTTAAAGTGAGGAGGGTCATTTAAAATGAAGAGTGTTAGATGCTTCCGTTCCAGACTAAGACCCATCTTCCCCATGGCACCAGTAAAACCTGAAATCCGGTCAGCAACTTCTATTCTGCCCTTGGCCCTTCTCCAGATCAGTTTTCATTCTTTGACTACACTTAATAGTTTTCTTGTAGGAGAGAAGAAAACTCAGTCCTCTTTGTGGCTGTTTAGAAACTTATTCATACTTCTAGGTTCCTTCACTGTCTACTAATACAATTTTCTAAGAATAGCAGAGGATGATTTAGAAATGAAAAAAGCAACAGAGAAAGAACTGTTATAAAGTAATTATCTATCTTTACACTTACAGCCTATGTCAAAATTTTATCAGATACTTCTTGCAGTATAGTCTTACAACAGCCAGAGCCTTCTGTCCTTTTTGTCCTTTATAGAGAAAAGTTACCTTTTTTGGAGCACTAAAAAACCTTTCAGTCTCTCCGAGTTTGTCATTTTTCCTGTCAAATTATCTGCTTATAAACTCATCTCCTCATCTAAACTACAAGAGGAATTATGTCTTTTAGTTGGAAATGTTTGCTGAGCCCTGGCTGGTTTGGCTCATTGGATAGAGCTTCGGCCTGGGGACTGAAGGGTCCCGGGTTCGATTCCAGTCGGGGGCATGTACCTTGGTTGCAGGCACATCCCTGGTGGGGGGTGTGCAGGAGGCAGCTGATCAATGCTTCTCTCTCATCAATGTTTCTAACTCTCTATCCCTCTCCCTTCCTCTCTGTAAAAAATCAATGAAATTATATATGAAAAAAAAAGATAGAAAATGTCTGCTGAATTCAGTTTCATCCTGGGACAGGCAGAAGACAATGACCGTTTCTGAGATGATGTTTGATGATTGAATCAGAAGCAGTCTGGAGTCTGGCACAGGTGTGATCATCTTCAGCTATGAGTCCACTTTCTGGAACAAGGGGTCATCATGCCGCCCTTCCCTGCCAACTTACTACCAGGACACTTGATAAAACTAGAGCCTAACTGCAGTTCTCGGATTCTGTGATCGCAATATTGGGCTGATCAACCTTGGCTGCTAGAAATACGATCTTCTGCTCTAGGAAATAATCTAGGCTAACTGTAAATTACAGGAATTCAAATAGAACATGGATAAATGTATATTTTCCAATATATTGTTTTTGTCTTTCCTTAAAGCTCAAGCAATCACTTCACTTCTAGTAAGAGACTTCCTATGCATGTAGGAGTCAAACTCAGAGACTCTACGGCTAACTGATACCATGTGCCTGTGCTGACCACAAATACAAGATCATAGCACAGGTACACTGTTATGGATGGAATGTATGAGTCTCCCCCTAACTCTGAGTGTGGCTGAAGAGACACAAAAAAACTCTCCAATACGTGCAGAGGAAAGGCCCTGGAAGGTGGTCCTCTGTAAGCCAGGAAGAGAGCCCGCACCAGAAAACAAATTGGCCGAAACCTTGATTTGGGGCTGTAAAAATACATTGCTGTCATTGAAGCCACCACCCAGGCTGTGGTATGTTGTTGCAACAGTCTAAGTAGACCAATACACAATATTAGCCCGTTGAGTTTGGAGGCTGGGACTGTGGCTTATTGAATTTGTATCGAAGTGCCTAACAAGCTGGCACATGTTGAAAAGGTGCTATGGGGCTCAAACCTCAGCTCTATCACCTGTTATCAAGTTGCTTAACTTCTATAAGTTAACTTCTATTTTCTTTTTCACTTGTAAAATGGAAGTAAAGTTGTTTGGGAAGATTAACTAACTAACTAACTAACTAACTAACTAACTATATATATAAAATGACACAGTACCTTAGGTACTCAATATATTGTATGTATTATTTTTTTATTGACCAAAGAGAATGCTTTATAATAATAAAACATTTTAAAGTATCAGATGAAAGGAAATTTTCTTTCAAAGCCTTTTTACCATCTTGAGGCAAGTTAAAATAAACAACCAGGTGAGGAAGAGAAGAACTGGATAAGCTGAGTACTAGGAATGTCTCTGAAGGAAACACTCAGAGGCACAAAGATTTAGACACAAACACATTCCCCTGAAGCATGGAGGAGAAGGAAAAATAAGTACTCAATGTCTAAAAACAGGAGTGTGCACAGTTAAGAAAGGGTCTAATACAATATATTAGGCAGTTAAATATAACTCATGATTTCAAAGATTTCATGAGATGGGAAAAATGCTCATGATGTTATATTATGTAAAGCAAAATACAAAATCACATATCATAGAATATAATTTTTAAAAAGTCTATCTACTTACTGAGTCTCCCTACACTCACCCACCCACCCACTTGTCCATCTATCTGTAACTCCCTCTCAGGAAATATACCAACATATACTTATCTCGGGTAGTGGGATTATGGATAAGTTAATTCATTCTTTAACAGCTCTCTGGATTTTCCCTATGTGAGTTTGATTTGTTTTGTTGTTTCCAATTATGTGTTTAAAAATTCAAATTCAGATATAAAAGTGCGTTTCTTCCCTTTACCAAGCCTGAGAGGTGAAAACTGTTAGGAGCTGGATGTACATCCTTCTCAGAACTTCTCTTAGGTGTTTTACTACCTCTATAATAACAGTTATTAAAAATGTAAGCAGACATGAAACACATTTACTACACTAGTATTTTCAGTTTAGCCTCACAGTTCCCTTCTGCTATCCAGCTATGAAAGTGGAACTTGGAAAATCCAGTTATTATCATCTCCAATAAAATGTTAAAAGAGACTGAAATGTGTGTGTGTAAAAAAATTCAAGATTCCCAAAGAAACCCTCAAAAAAGACTGACACAGCAGGGTTTGTGCATCTGCCCTCCAGATGGTCTCTTTGTCACCTGGGTTTCAGTTAGTGCTCAGAGTTGGGTGACTGTCTCAGAAGGGTGCCATTTTTGGGGGGAAGCCCCAAATCAACATTTCAACACGAACTCCCTAAAGGACTTCACTGACAGTTTTAAGGTGAGGACTTTTAGGAGGGAAGGAGTGAAAGCTCTGAGATGCACAGAACCTGCCACCACCTGAGATGTAAAGGGGTGAGCAATACATGCAGTTACGAAGCATCTTCTAGAAGACAACCAACAGGTGTTACGTAGTCAATGAGGATGAAGCCATAGGACCCACAAGGGAACTGGATGTCTGCCTGCTAGTTTGGGATGTGTGGGCATTTACTGATGGGCCCCAAGGAAAGTACTAGGGAGGAAAAGGCATGAGCATTTAAAAAAATATGAATTTTTCTTATTGATTTCAGAGAGGGAGGGAGGGAGGGAGGGGGGGAGAGAGAGAGAGAGAGAGAGAGAGAGAGAGAGAGAGAGAGAGAGAGAGAGAGAGAGAGAGAAACATCATTGATGAGAGAGAATCATTGATCGGCTGCCTCCTGCACGCCCCACAATGGGGACCGAGCCTACAACCCAGGCATGTGCCCTGATTGGGAAGTGAACCATGACCTCCTGGTTCATAGGTCAATGCTCAACCACTGAGCCATGCCGGCCAGGCAGACACGAGCATTTTTGCTGACATAAACAAAATGGTCCACAAGTAAGACAGTGTAGCTCTACGGGCTGGCTGCGTGCCAAGGTGG